TCAGGCGATCGGAGGGGGATGGGGGTCTACACCTCTGGCCGAGGCATCAGGCCTGGGCCGAGGGCAGAGCCAGCAATTGGAGGGGTCTGTGGGTCCCCTGCCCAGGCCTGATGCCTGGGCCAGAGGCATCAGGCCTGGGCTGGGGGCAGAACCAGTGATGGGGGGAAATGAGGGTCCCCTGCCCAGGCCTGCGATTGGAGGGTGATGGGGGGTCAAAGCCTGAGGGCTCCCAGTATGTGAGAGGGGGCAGGCTGGGCTGAGGGACACTCCCCCCGCCCCCACACACACACCCAGTGCACTAATTTCGTGCACGGGGCCCCTAGTACCATTATAAATGCCTAACGTCCCTTGAATCATTATTTCACGGTCTACAATTAAGAGTACCCATACCCTACTTTTGTCTCACTTTACTGATGAGACGAACTGAGGCATAGCACAGGGACGCGGGTTGATGGTGGAATCAACAGAGAAACAAACGAGGGATCTAGTTTCCTAATAGCGCTGCCCTGCCCCACGAAACGCGGCTGCTTTCACCTTGAAACGTCTAAACGTCTTGGGGAGGAAGCTAAGCTGACACCTGTCCTCCTTGTGGGTGGGGTGGCCGGGGACCTGGGGAAAGGAGGCATCCGGATCAAGTGAGAGTCCAGGCGGCGGCCTGCAGGAGGACCTGGGGCGACCAGACGAGGCACGGGGCAGAGGGGACCTTCAGGTCCCGGGAAAGGGGAACTTCTGTCGTGGGAACGAAAGAAAAAGAGGATTTCCAGGGCGGGAGGACGGCGGGGCGGCGGGAACCAGGAGGCCGACCGGAAAGTTCTCCTCGCAGAGTGGAGCTCACGGGTCGGGGAGGCCTCACCTGCCAGGAGGACGCAGAAAGACAGCAGGCACAGAAGACCCCGACTTCCCAGCTCAGCCGCGGAGCCGCCCCCAGCCGTAGCCATCTTGCATCTCGGCGGACCGGAAGCCTCGGCTCCCTTCCGCCCGGCAGTGGCCTCTCTAGGCCACCCTGGCGCCTTCTCGGTGGCCAGGAGCGGCAGGGACCGGAAGTTCGTGTCCGCGGGAGCTTCCGGGAGCCTGGGAGCCCTACCTGAAGGGGGCTCTCCATACTTTTGTGAGTTTTACTAGCAGAAGCCACACCAAATTCTCAGGGTAAAGAACAAATAAAAATCCTCGCTACTTCTAGCAGGCAGAACACAGAAGTGGAGCCGGGGGGCTGGGTGTCGGAGCGGCGCTGTCACGGGGGAGAGCGGACCGACGTGTGGGCCTGAGTGACCCGGGTGCGGACCCAGAGGAAGGGGGCGGGAGGGCGGTTAGGCCGGCGGGCGGCCCTCCGGCCGGCTCTGCTTGTGCGATGTCCCTGCGGTTTGATCACCTGTAGGCCCCTTCCCGGTTCTCTCCCTTCCCCTCACCCGGGGCCGTGTCCAGCTCCCAAGGCCCAGCAGCCAGCCAGCTTTTAAAAAAAAATTTTTTTTATTGATTGATTGATTTTAGAGAGAGAGGAAGTGGGAGAAGGAGAGTGAGAGAGTGTGAGAGAGTGCCATAATGTGTTATTCCACTTATGTATGCATTCATTGATTGATTCTTGTATGTGCCCCGACCGGGAATTGAACCTGCAAACCCCGCCGGCTTTTTGAGGACCGTGTTGGAGGGAGTGTCCCGGGCGATCGAGTCTCGACCTCTGCTCTTCGTATCCAAGTCTGTTCGTATCCGAGTCGGTAGCCTCCCCCGGAGATGAGCAGTGGCCGCCTCTCTTAAGGAGGCCGGGGCGCACCCGCTCAAGCCCGAGAGCCTCCCCTGTCATTTCTCACTTGGAAGCAGGACAGAGAGGCCTGTAACCCCAGCAAAGGCTGAGCTTGCTGGGGTTGCCGGATGAACAGTGAACACCTTTCTGGTATTGTTCGCGGTTTTTCTGAAATGCAGATTTAACTGGGCATCTTTATTTCCTAAACATGGCAAGCCTAGAGCTTGAGTGTCAGCGGATGGGCTGGAGGGCAGGTGGTCTCTCAGAACGTTAGGATGGGGAAGGCAGAGAAGTAAGGGCTTCTGAAATTTGGGAGAAATACGTATCTTGACTGTTCAGTAAGATGCCACACGGCAAGGTGGGTAGGAACTTAGCCTGTGGAGTCGGATGGGCTTGCTTTGGGTGCCGAAAGATCCAGTACGCGGGGCGCCTTACTTAACATTCTAAATCTCTCTTTCCTCATCTGTAAGGTGTGAATAATTAACATTCTCGTACAGACAGAATTAATAATGAGAAAGTATGTGAAAAGTGCTTATTACAGTGCCTGGCATAGACTCAGGCTCAAAACCCAGAGGGCACTTTTGAGGTGAGAATAGATGCTGAGCAGTTTCTAAATCTTGTGAGAACGTGATCACGATGAGTACCATTAAAAATTCCTGGGTGCGCCGAAACCGGTTTGGCTCACTGGATAGAGCGTCGGCCTGCGGACTGAAGGGTCCCAGGTTCGATTCCGGTTAAGGGCATGTACCTGGGTTGCGGGCACATCCCCAGTGGGGAGTGTGCAGGAGGCAGCTGATCGATGTTTCTCTCTCATCGATGTTTCTAACTCTCTATCTCTCTCCCTTCCTCTCTGTAAAAAATCAATAAAAATATTTAAAAAAAAAATTCCTGGGTGGTTGAAATGGGTCTTTATAATCATTGTATTTTCTGTTCTGCTCCTAATTTTTTATTGGGCAGTAGAGAAGGAAAGTGGGGGAGGGGGGAGAGAAGGAAAGGTGTCATAATATTTGAGAGTGAATATCCATTCATGAGTGTCCCTATGTGTCATACAGGAAAAAAGTGAACAAACTAATGAAAAAAATATCAATTTAGAGAAGAAATGTTCAATAAACAAATGAAAATGTTATACACCTCACTGTACACCTAAAACTAATACAAAACAGTATTGAATGTAAACTAATTTTAAAAAGAGAGAAATCTTGATAAAAAATTTAAAAATAAAACGAAAATATTGTATACCTCACTAGTAATTAAAGAAGTGTAAAAAAGAAAGTGAGAATACCTTTATTTTTGGGTCTTAGATTTGTAAAATAAACAAAACAAGTAACTGATTACATGGTTAATGTGTGCAAAATACCATTTCTAGGTCTTTATAAAGCAGTAATAATGCAAATAGGCTATATTTGGAAGTGTCTCAATTTGGCCCTGTTTTCTGATAGAACAAAAGTGAAGGGGAAAAGCTTTACTGCCCATCATTAGAGTCATGTTAAGATGGCACATTTGTACCTTGCGGTTGTTAAAAAGAATGAGGTTTTGTTTATATGTACTTAAATATAATAAGACCCATGATAAATAGTTAACTAATAAAAGAAGTTTGGCCCTAACCAGTTTGGCTCAGTGGATAGAGCGTTGGCCAGCAGACTACTAGTAAAGGGTCCCGGGTTCGATTGTGGTCAAGGGCATGTACCTTGGTTGTGGGCTTGATCTCTAGTAGGGGTTGTTTGGGAGACAGCTGATCGATGTTTCTCTCTCATTGATGTTTCTAACTCTCTATCCCTCTCCCTTCCTCTCTGTAAAAAATCAATAAAATATATTTTTAAAAAGAAGTTTGCAGGGAAAATGTTACCTTCATTTTCATAGAGTGTATGGTCTGCATTAAAAATTGGAAAGGATACACTCTAAACTGTTAACAGTTGTTACTTCCTTAAATTTCCATTTCCAGTCATGATGGAGTAATAGGGACCAGGTTTAGCTTCCCACCTTAAACAACCGCACACCTGAACAAATGTATAAAACAATTTCAGACATTGGATGACAGCCACTGCAGGAAGTGATTCTTGATAGAAGGGAAATAAACAAGATGAGTCCTATGATGGCTTTTAGCTTACTACCTGGGGAGAGTTTCCAGGCTGCAGTGGAGGGAGGGGGCAGAGCCTTGTGGCCTCACTGAGGAGAACAGAGTTTAGAGTTCAGGGAAGCCAAGACAGCTAGAATTTGCTGGGCAAAATACCAGAAAAGAGGGAGGTGCTCAGAGAACACCTGAGTTCTGCAGGGCATCCCGTTGGGACTTTGAGTACTAATGCATGTGAGGAAAGGACCCAAGGCCTGGAAAAGAACGGCTGGAGAAAAGAAGGCAGAACTCCCTGGAGCTCACGTAGGGCTGGGAGTAGTTTGTGTTCCTACTAGCCAAGATGGAGAGACCTCCTAATACTACAAGGCATCACACAAAGACCTCAGCAGGGCATTGCCTCAATAGTAGTGTCAGATAGACCCACACTAATGTGGACCCACACTAATAAAACAGTCTGGTCGGTGTGGCTTAGTGGTTGAGCATCGACCTGTGAACCAGGAGGTCACGGTTCAATTCCTGGTCGGGGCACATGCCCAGGTTGTGGGTTCGATCCCCAGTGTGGGGTGTGCAGGAGGCTGCTAATCAGTGATTCTCTCTCATCATTGATGTTTCTATCTCTCCCTCTCTCTTCCTCTCTGAAATCAATAAAAAAAAATTAAAATTTTTTATAAAACTTAAAAGCAAGTCTCAAAAGGGTTAACTGATTCCAAATAACTTAACTGCATCATAAAACAAAGCCCAACAATATTTAAAGGCACGTAACAAAAATCCAGGACCTTATAGCATAAATCAGGGGTGGGCAAACTTTTTGACTCGAGGGCCACAGTGGGTTCTTAAACTGGACCGGAGGGCCGGAACAAAAGCATGGATGGAGTGTTTGTGTGAACTAATATAAATTCAAAGTAAACATTATTACATAAAAGGGTACGGTCTTTTTTTTCAATAGTTTTATTCATTTCAAACGGGCCGGATCCGGCCGTAGTTTGCCCACGGCTGGCATAAATGCACAATGTCTAGCAGTGAATGAATAAATGAACGTAGAATTAACCTAAGCTGTTCCTTTTTCTATCAGAATTGACAGGAAGTGACATTTGGCATTTAGCTCATTGGACCATTTTCTTTTTTCCCCCAGGACTCAGTTTTCACCCCAAAAGACCCTGGATCCTGACCAGTTTACACAATGGGGTCATCCAGTTATGGGACTATCGGATGTGCACCCTCATTGACAAGTTTGATGAACATGATGGTAAGATAATTGTTTTTAGGGGGAAGTTAAAGATAGAAGTATTGTCTTCTGGAATAGTTTAAGCCTTGTTTGACATTAATGTCTTAGGATTAAATAATGTGGAGGGAATATAACTGAAAAATCCTGAATAAGAACCACCTTGGAGATTAGGAAGCAAAGCTCTCTTTAACATATATTGCCTGCCTTCTCCAGGTCCAGTCCGAGGCATTGACTTCCATAAGCAGCAGCCACTGTTTGTCTCTGGAGGAGACGACTATAAAATTAAGGTACAGAGGGTCTGTCATTACTGAAGTAAAGGTCAGAGGATGTGAGGTTTGGGAATTGTGGATTAAAAAGCAGTAGTACATCTTACTCATAGAGAGCTCATGATTTTGACTTTATTTAGCAACATTTATTGAATGCTTACTGTGTACCAGACACTTATTTTTGGAGAATTCAGAAATAAGAAATGGTCTCTGGTCATGAGATTTTATTCTATTAGAAGAGATAAATGTATATCCAAATAATAGCTGGGTTAGTGAGCAATAAAATAGTGAGATAACCAAAGTGAAATAGGGGAGAGCAATTCAGGTACAAAGACATAAAGGCATGACATAGCTGGATACATTTGAGAAACTGTAATTAGTTTTGTTTGGATAAAATCTGGAGAAAACGAGAGAAAGGAGTGCTCTTAGCACTTTAATTGAAGTGATCATGGAGTTTGCATGCTCAGGAGTTTGATTGTCATACAGATAACAAGGAACCATTAAAGGGGTTTGTATAGAGGAATGATATCCGATTAACACTTTTTTTAAAAAGAAGATTACTTGGGTGGCAATGTAAAGAAGAGATTGGATGAATTGGGCAAGACGGGAAACAGAGATACCAGTTAGGAGACTGTTTTATGTATAAGTCCATGTGAGAGAAGAACAGCGTCTGAGCTTAGGCAGTAGCATTTGAAATGGAGAGAAAGATTGACGTGAATGCTCAAGAAATGAATTTGTCTTTTGCATGGATATTGGTGGGATGGTAAGGGAAAATAAATGAGATTATTCATATCAGGTTTCTAGTTTAGGTCACTGGGTAGAAGATGTACTATTAACCAGGAAAGGAAAAATAAGAGGTACGCTTTTCTGAAGTGGAAAAGGGTGGTGTCTCAGTCTGTTTGAGTTACTGTCACAAAATACCTCGGACTAGGTGGCTTATAGACAACAGAAATTTATTTCTCAAAGTTCTGGAGGCTGGAGGTCCAAGGTCAGGGTGCCAGCATGGTTGAGATCTGATGAAGGTCCTCTCCAGGAAGCAGACTGCTGACTTCTCATTGTGTACTCAGGTGGGGTCTCTGGGGTCTCTCTTGTAAGGACACTAATCCTATTCACGAGGGCCCCACACTTATAACCTAAGTACCTCTGAAAGACCTCACCTCTTTAATACCATTTCCTTAGGCATTTGGATTTCAACATATGAATTTTGGGGAGGACACAGATGGGTAATGAATAGTATCTTGGCTCTGATGTGTTTGAGGTACCTAAAGGCATGTCTGCACTGGAGATTTATTTGGGAGTTGTCATCAGGAAGGAGGGCAGCAAAACA